TTAACCCTTGCAACAGTTCACCTGGTGCCTTCTTTAAGCTTCATGGAAGGCATCACTGCACCATGGACATGTACAGCCGGCACTGCAGCCCGGCTTCATGTAAGTTTTCTCACCGATACTTCGGCGCTCTGATGTTGCTGTCGGATTGTGAGGGGTGTACTGGCAAGGTCCCGGCGTGTCCTCCCCTGTCCTTGGCTACTCTGACAACTCCATGCTCCCCGTACTCTTCTTGAAGTCCTTTTGACATCCGTGCGCATTGGCACTCCGAGGCCCCATCCTCCCAAAGCGCTTGGCCGTGCCAAACCTGAAGCACGCTAAGACAAAGACGTTCTACTTTGCATGGGCGTGGAAGTCGAGAGAATCTGGAGATTTGGCATGCGAAGGCGAAGATCGCACCATGTCGCGCCTAATGTGCCTTGAGCGTTTTTCGGTTGGGCACAATGGTGGCGCCACATAATCCGTTGGCCCAGGGAACAGCTCCGACCTGCGAGCGGAAGCATGGCAAAAGGCCATAGGAGTTGGGAAGTTGTCAAAACGATAGAAAAGATACCAAGCCCCCAGCTGGTTCCCCACACGGCTGCCAATCTTCAGGCTGGCTCCTCTCCTCACAGTCCAAGGTCCGACAGCACATGGCCACATGTTCAAGAATCTCTTGAAGCTCTACGATTTCACTACGTTTTCCAAAACGGAGAGGAAAGTTGGCGCTGCACAATACTGCACATCTCAGGCAAGATGCGTACTTTGGGACAGGAAGTGTGGGATCTCGTAGTGCCCAGGACCCGGCTGGTCCCGACGCCGTGGCATCGCACCTTCGCGGGCCAACGACAACCCGAAACATCGCGCAGGATGGCAGATGGGAAACTCACGACGAGGAAACATGATGTTCACAGGCTGCGCATTGCTGCGCTATGCTGCGCTCGTTCCAGTGTTTTGGGCCTCTAAGGCGCCCAGCTGCACCACAGCCATCATATCTGTGAGAGCCGAAACGACGGGATCGTGCAGCTTGGTTTGGCTTTGTTAAAGTCCAACTTACTTTGAGAATCCCCAAGCCTTTCCGTACCTGAGCAGCTTTTGATATTGGATGGCTTTTGCCCTGAAGCAACCCGTTCCTTTCTTCTCCGTTCCTTTCTTCTCGCTGCAAGAGACAGCGATAGACAGCGGCTCCTGAATGCGGGACCGTGCGGCACGTCCTCGCTGTACATGGCTAGAAGAATCGGCTCTCAGATAGTTCTGCACTTCTCCGCTTCGGTCCAGTACATTCCGGACGTTCTTGTAACTCCGCCACGCTCGCCCGCCTTTCCCTTGCTGCCGCACTAGCTCTGCCACCAGGGCGACGGGCGACGCGCACTTGCCATCACTGGGGCCGCTTCAAAGGGCCAGGGCTTTCTCGAGTTGGGCAGCTGCCATGGAGTCCACGTGCTCTGGAAATACAATGTGGAATTGTACCAGCAAGCGGCCGTAGGTTGACGGATCGTCGTGAACAGGCATACCCTCCCCTTCAATCTCCATTGCGCTGTCAGGATGCACAACGGTTCCACGCGGAACGGAAAGATGCACCACGTGGCCATCGAGGTGCGTGACTTCACGCTTGAAGCCCACAAGAGCCTCTAGTAGGGAGATTCGGAGAAGCAGCACGAGATCCGACCCCATCCGTTTGAACAGGGGATGCTTGAGCACGTGGACATTGACGAGCACATCGCCTGGAACATGTCGCGGAATCTGGGCAGCCATGAACTCAAATTGCAGTCTGTCTCCGGTCATGGCACCTCGCTCGACTGTCATGTTCAAGCTCAGGTCTGTTTGCCTGCACTTCTCAGGACTGGGCGCATGCACCTCCTCCATGAAATACTCCCACTGGTTAACCCAAACCTGACGCAAGTGTACTTCGTCAGGGCATGCCCGGCAGCCTCGGCATCGTGCTAGGCGCGGTTGTTGTCGACAGGAAAGGCATAATATCTGCCTGCTGAGCTCCAAGGTGTACTCAGCCCCTGTATATGAGTCCTCCAGGGAGATGCTGTGAGAAACCTCCAAGTTCTCAGATCTGGGGACCTCGTCCATCTCGTACTGTCGCACCAGTTCCATGCCTCCGCTGTCATACCTTTTGATGGAAACGGGGCAATTGTGTTGGCAACAAGATCGAAACACTCAAAAGAGTGGGTGGTTGGCAACAAACCTATCCCGGCCAAGCTTCAGCAACAGCTTGACTGGGTCATCCAGGATCTCGTAAGCGTGCCGCAGCCGTTGGAATCGAGATGACTCTTGGGACTTGTCAGGGTGATGCTTCACGGACAGCTCGCGGTAGGTCCTCACACTGCACTCCGGCACACAACCGATGCCGCGAAAGACCGTCACTCTCAAGCTAAACGTCAGCTCAACAACGAAATGCTGCGTGACGTCCTCTTCAGTCGTTGCCTTTCCACTGCGTGGTCAGTACCATCATCCTCGATGTCCAGCGCTGCCAGTAGTTCAGCTATGCTGCCAGCAATGGGCCGCGCAGCACGGTTGTAACCTGCATTGGCCGTGCATGTTTCGGATCCCATCGAACGCAAACCCCTGCAAACCCTAACTCAAGCAGCACGACCACCTTCACATCCTGCAGTGTCATGCAAGATGCGCAAGCCATTGCCTGAATGTAAAGCTGAAAGAAAACTCTCTCTCACTGCATCACACGGCAGCAATCACGCAAGCGAACTGCAAACTGACACCAAGCAAGTTGCGCCACCCACTGGGAAGGTGCATTGTAGATTCCTGGGCATGATGCAATTAGCGACAAGCCAACATCTTGTGGCTAGAGTTGCACCCAGCCGAAATTTCTTGCAGCAACCTGTGGACATTTGTTCGGCGCCGGCCCAACCAGCAAAGGGGAGCCCTAGATTAAATCCGGGCATCATCACTTGTCCATGAGCAGAGCACTCCACCCGAAGCTCTGTGGACAGCCACCACCAATGCAGCCGCGCGCAAGGACGGCATGAACATTGGGCAGTTGTGCTGAGCATGTGTCCTGCAGAAAGCATGGTTGAAGCTTTTGCACTTTCTAGAACGTCATCCGAAGTATGTTCTCGAGGCTCAAGTTCATCGTCCTAGAACAAGACCCGACAAGTCGCAACTCGCAACCTCATGAAATTCAAGCTGAACAGCGAAACCCACTACGGCTTTCGGCTTCTTTCTTGGCCATAGCTGAATAGCCTGCTTCTGGACAAACACAACTGAAATGCCTGCGTCTGGACAAACAACTGAATAGCCTGCTTCTGGACAAACCATCATTCCAAGCCGTTTCCACACAGAGACTTTGCCATACTTCGGCTCGCGTCGCCAGCTCGGCCTATGGTTGCTTTGCAGCATAGGCCGGCAATGCCAAGCAAAGCACGTGCGCCGGTGCACGTTTTGCAGATGTTGGATTCAAAACTTTGCACACCTGCAACGAATTTGAATTTCACGCGGCTTGTACGCCGAAGGCTAGACCATCTGCGGCTTGGCCGCAGGCGAAGAGCCCTTGGGCATGTGCCAGATCATGCCATACCACTGCCTTGCAGTGTCCTCAGTATCGTGGGGCACCCGTTCTACCGAACAGCACGAACGTCGGGCCCACAGATGTCTTGAGGGGATTCTGCTTTCAAGCTCGCTGCGCGATCTTTCTCACGATGGCCTGCAACACCGGATGCGGCAAGGTGTGAAGGATGCCAAGGCCGAAAGCCTTTCAAAAAATTGAGGTCGGGACGCGCTGTACAAATGTTTTTAGTTCGGGACGCCGACGCAGAATCTCGGCAAACTCCTTTCTGAAGCTAGTATAGGAGGCGCAAGATAGTTGCCATAACTACAAGAGTTGCAAGAGCTTGGCTCATGTCCTTGCTCGGAATGATCTTGCTGAAGTCCTTTCTCAAAGTCCACGTAAAGTCGGGAGAGAGAAGCCACCAGAAAGTGAGACATGTCCAGCGTCCTTGTCCATTTTTCGGTGTTCTGCCGGCGTTAGCCAGTTCTGTCAAGCCACAGTCATGCATCCACACTTGCCCCAAAGACATGCTTAAAAACGCTAGTAACAACAATAATATTACCAACAATACTAATAGCACAAAACAATCCTGAGAACATGCCAACACCAGGCCTCCAAGTCAAGAGCGGTTCTCCACATATCCTTGCTGGGTCTTGCCGACACGCGCATTGCTGACACGGCGCAAGCCCCCAGTGCCCTGAATACGTGCAGACCAAGACTCTTCGAGCGGCTCTGTAAGCAGGTATTCCCTCACGGCCTGGCGCTTCAAAAAAACTCAAAAATGCTTTTAAAGTACTTGGGAAAGGATTGCAGAAGGATGTTAGTCCCATGATGTTTCTTCGAGATGATTCGGACGCTTAATTATGCGAACGGCAGCAAGTCAGCCTGCTGATCAGAGACTGCGACCATCCTGTCTCAGAGCACAGATGTCCCACCCCCCCACACCCGTCAGAAAAGAAAGCACACACAAGGAGCACAGCCCAGGCCGCACCTCGCCAAGTACTGGCCGCGAGCCCGGACGCCTTCCTGACGTCATGCCACAACTGTACAGGCCCTTGTGTACTGCACGATGTCCATCACTGTACTTCAGACGCTTGGTGGGCCTGCGCCGGCTCGGCGTCACCAGTCCCCCCTCCCGTCCCTCCGGACCACGCCGCCACTCCGTCGGTTCTCATGTCGTCCAAATCCTTCACCTCTTCCTCCACCTCTTCCTCCACCTCTTCCTCCACCTCCTCACGCACGGCGGATGGAGGGTCTCAGGATGACTCAGGGTCACAGCGAGCCAATCAACGCAAGCCACACAAAGCCACCTGAAGAAGAATGGAATCCTCCATTTCCATCATGGCCTGGCAAAGGCTCTCAAGCCGCAAAGTCGTCCCTGGTCAAGTCGCGGGAGTGCAGTCAAGCAGCAGCGACGTCTTCAACTGGCCGTTTGGCCCTCGGCACATGAGTCCCCTGCTCCCATGCCCTTTCCCATGCCCTTTCTTGCTCTTTCCAGTCGCATGTGATGCTACTGCTAGAGCTCCTGCAATGTAAAGCGTGTCAGGACCAACGAAGCACTTGAGTCCTCAGGCGTGGGCATCATCTCCTGCGCTGGTGCTTAGTGCGAAATTCTCGCAAATTCTCGGCCCTTGCGCACACACAGAACTCACAAGGGGGCAGGCACAGCCCGCAGCCCCCAGCATCCGCAGCAGTCCATCATCTTGTGAACGTCAATGCCCGCCAGGAGGCCAAGCAAGTCCTCTGCTCGAGGTTAGGCACAGAAGCCTTTCAAACATACAGTCTTTCAAGCCACGAGGTAGGCTCTCTGACAGTCCGGCTAGGATGACAAAATATTACAAATCTGCGATCATCTGCGGCACCTCCGCACACTGGGAGCCCATCTTCTTGAGGAGGACAGACTTGCTCTTTGTCCCCGTCACTTCGCACACCTGGCTGTTCGGCTCAGTGAGTGCAGCACATCGAGCCTCTTTTTCAACGGAAGCAGCCTCGTCCAAGTTGCCACATCCGAAGCGCTTCGCCAGCTCTGCCTGGCGGAGTGGCAGGGCAATTCATGATCCACAGGCCTCCGCACGTTTGTCTTTGCAGCATGCCCTCACCACCCCCAACGTGAAAAACCGAAAGAAAAAGGCTTGCGATGATTCGAGCAGCCTCGTCCTCCGGCAGCATCGGAGGACAGTCCGGCGGCGGGTGGCGCCTGGAGTACGCGGCCTAAGCAGGACAAGAAACGAGGCGAGCCAACACCGAACAGCACGCTCTAGGCCGGGAGCATAGTGCAGCAGGAGCATGACTCCCACCCTCGGCTTGAGATTTCTCTCTCGGCTTCGGTGCCGAACGATGCCAGGTCACTGAGGAGGTGGCACCCCTAACGCGAGCATCGGCACTCGATACTCGTTAAGACCTGTCGAGATATTGCGAGGGCGCAGGCCCGGTTTACAAAGGTTGCCACCTGCTCTTGCCAAGCCCTGTTCGGACTGCAGCAGGCTGCCACTTCGGACAATGTCAACAATTTGCACAGGCAACTGTTACACTGTTGCTCAACAGCAGAACTGTAAAGAGCACGGCCTGGTGGTTGCATGGAAATCGCCTGCATGCCCCGTCAACTCTCGGCTACGGACGTCCTTTCCATAAATTTCTGCGGTTGACCTACCACTAGTCAATGCGATTTACCTGCCAGCGAAGCTGTTGCGTAGTATTGTGATTCCTGTCAGATGAATTGTCACTCATGTCGTCACTAGCGAACAAACAAGACCCCCCACACAGTGGAATGCACGTGCATCTGCAATTGCAGGGTAATGAAACCAAGCACGAGCAGCAAGTTCAGCAAGACACCACACGTGTCACCCACCGACATCCGAGAATGTTGTTTCTCTCGTCTTGGATATCTTATGGAGAGAAAGAAGCGGCTCACAACGAGAGAACAAGAGTCAACGAATTACATGCATGAGCGAGTAAGCGCATCAGCATAACAGGAGATACTGAAGGCAATGCTTTTGTTTGTAGTCAGGGCATGAACGAGTGAACTTTAGCTGTATTTCATGTGGCTTCTAACTTGTAAGGAACAAGATGAAGCGAAGTGCCACATGAAGCCACATAAATTCAAAAGCTGCAGCAGCAGAAAAGGCAATCATGAACGTGATCAAAACATATGCTGTCTACAGGAATCGGTGTCCTCCCCACATAGGGCAATAACAAACAACAATGAACTGTGCAGCCTACTGGACTTATTTATTACTGACCTCATTAGGAATCCTGTAGTTCATCTTCCGTTTAACCTTACCACCTCTCTCCAGTTAGAATAGAAGTAATTGCTGCATGTGATACGAGCTGCCCTGAAGCTTTTCCTAACGATGTATGGCGACTAGGTATGATTGAAGTAGATGTAGCCATGTGACTATCAACAAGGAAACCACAACGCGTGAAACTACGCAAGCTTCTCAGCAACCTTCTGTCCGAAGTTCAAGTCATGGCCACAATAATTTCTCGTGAAGATAACTTGTATGAGCAACGTCCAACACACATTTTCTGTTAACCTGTCGCAGTGGGTATGAGGACAACTCTCCCTTCTTAGAGCCCAGGCAAACTCCGAACAGTGGACAAGAAGTGGATTGTGCTACGAGGAGTTTCATGTCAGCCTTCGTGCTGCACTCAAGCAAACAAAGCCGGGTAGATGTTTCTGTTGCTGTGAGTGCAAACAGGCGGCTGCCATTCCAGCAAGTGACCAGGGAGTACTCATGAAAGTCACGGCCTGAGTTTGCGCGTGATCACTGATCACCAGTCAGTGTGACTGTGAGATCTGGGCTCAAGAGCCCGAGAATCTAGGAGATCGGACAGCTGAATAGATGCCCTGGGCGGCACCAAACCGACTTGGTGGCGCATACCTTGGCGAAGCACAAACAAAAGCTTCGTCGTACCTTTCTGGCAAAATGTCCCACAGGACAACTCGCTTACTCGCCCTGTTCTTGGACACAAGCCAAGGCAGGCCATCCTGTCTTCACGCCAAGAAGCAGCAGAATGTAGCGCGAGATGTAAATGGAGAAAAGGCTTATGAACAGAACCGTTGAGGACCTGGGAGCACGGATTGTCAGATCACGCAGATCCCGCCCGCCAGCCAAAGACCCACCAAGCGCCCCACGTGCAAAGGATTTGCGCAGGCCAGGCAACCATGCCCACTGTAACGCAAGCGGTTGTCGCAATGGCTGTGAGGAGCAGAATCAATGCCTCTCACGGGAGAGGCATGTTCCAGATGAATCGCGCAAAATCTCGCAGCCAGCACTTTGCCTCCAAACCAAAGCGGTCCGCAAGCAGACCAGCCAACGGTGCCAAGACAAGGCCAACCTCCAGACCCCAGAGGGCAAGCTGGAAAAAAGAAAATAGAAGAGTGACAAAAGCGACTCAAAACACCAGGCCCCCAACGACCGTACTGCAAAGCACGTTGATCTCCAGCAGCCTCTTGCCGGCAGACTTGTGCCCGAAGAGCAGTTCCGCATAGGGAGCCTAGCAGTCCCACGCGTTTAATTGCATGGCGGTGCTTACATGTACTGCTGCAAGCCAAGCAACCGCCAGTGAGGAGTAGAAAGCTGGCAGCCTTTGAGGAACACAACAGACAGAAAGCCCTCTTGCAAGACCGGAAGATTGCACAACGCCATTGACTTCTCCTTCATTCTGCGTGGATTCGGTGGCAGGCCTTGGAGGCCCTGCAAGGTCCTCGCCCTCTTGGCGGTTATCGTAATTAAATCCCTGAACGTGCCTGTCTAACCCTTTTTGGTGAACCACCTCTGCTGGTGAGTCATCCGTTCCAACCGATTGGAGGCTTCTTGGGATTCAGGTGTACTAATCCGGCTTCCCATGACAAGCGCGCGCAGCTGACCATCTGAGTCTCTGAATTTGTTTGGAAGGAGATTTATAGGGACACATGGGTCTCGCATCACGCCAAGGCGCACGAACGCGGAGGCCAAGGCAAAGCCAGAAGCTAGATGGTCTGCACGATGCATCTGCAAAGGGGTGTGGGTCGCTTTGGGGGGCCAGGGTTCACCCTGCAAGCCTGCAAAATCTCGACTGCACGGGTGATCATCTGAGACCTCATAACTTTGCCATGCTGAGGTTTCGCTGACGCATCATGACTTGGGGAATTGTCGTGGCCCTGGCACTCTTGTCTCGCCAGGCTTCCTGGGCCACACCCGAGCTGCAGACTGCAAAAACCGGACTGTGATCAAAACGGTGGCGGAGGTTCGGCAATGGCATTCCCAGGACGTGCTTCGCCTGCTGATAAAACCTCACGAACTGACTCCGTGAGTATTCAGAGCTTACCCAACCACTTCTGATGGCTTGTGATGCCACCAAGAAACTCTGTCTGCGTGGGAATGAGGATGAAGCAAAGCCGGGCGATCACAAAGACGATGGCCGTCCAAGCGAGCATTGGCAAGTACAGGGGCAGCTCCAACCACCGCATGCCCTGAGCTCCAGACAACATCGGGCACTTCACACCCTCTTCCGGGGCCGCCGTCACCAATCCATCCAAGTCTCGGCTTGCAGGAGCAGCGGAAACGCAGCGGATGCCTGATACCTCAGGAAACCGGAAGCCCCAATGCCCGGGCCGCTTCCTTCGGATCGAATTTGTGGGCATACAACGGCAACAAGGCAGCGACGTCGAGCTGATGAGGGCAATGATCAGAGTCTGCCACTGCGGGAAGTGCCAAATCAGTCCAATCATGGAAAAGCCTGGCAGACGCCCGATTGCCGTCAACGGGAGCTGTCGCGCATTATCAGTGCTGATGCACACGCCAAGCAGCTATTCAGCATAGATCCGAAATCGCAAAGCAGGACCTGAGCAAACCCACTGTGCCGATGCAATCAAGTCACTGGCAAAGCAAGCGGAAAGGTTTGTAGAAAGGTTTGTCGCACCACTTGAAAGCCTTTCATCGCATGACTCCAGTTAAGCCGTGTAACGCCGATCGACACGAAGTTGCAAGACAGAAAGTCCTCAACACTTCTGCATCACGTGGATTCACGTGGGTCCGCTGCGTGCAGTAGGCAGCTCTAGGACTCTAGGCCCCTCACATGACCGGACATGGCCCCCAGCACCGATCCACACACCAGAAGAAGCCTGAGCTGGATGCGCCCATATGCGCCCGTATGCGCCCATATGCGCCCGAAATGCTCCCCATGCGGCCCCGATCTCAAGCTTCCGGCTTCTGCCACGCTAGCCCCCATCCTGTCCAAGCAGCCCTGCTGCGCAGGAAAGCGCCCCAGTCGTGCCGGTCTTGTTCGCCTGATTTTTTTACAACTTAGCATGTCCCTGCACGTCCGCCGGCGGCGATGCGCACACATGCGCGAACTTGAGCTGGGCGGCGCCCCAAAGGTCATAAAGCAAACCGATGGGCGCTGCAAAGCCATAGGCCAGGGATTGGCAAACCTGGGAGCCGGACACAGGTGCCCCAAAAAACCTGCCTGCATATGCCTTGGCCTAGGGGTGTGGATCAGTCGTTGAAGGCAACTCAGAGCCAGGCCCCGAAGACAGAGTTCAAAACCTTCCGTGCGCAATCTGAAAAGGCGTGCCCCGGGCTTGCAGCCTCTGCCGCCAAGGCACGGAAATCTGATCTGCACCTGCTACACAGGGTCTTCTCCACAGCCCCTTCGCTCTACGTTCATGTCCGACTCCATTTCCCGACTACTTTTCCGATTGACTGATAGTGCAGATCATACGTATGCACAATCGTCGCTCCTGTCGGCTTCTCAAACTAAACTTCGACACGCCACCCACCATGATACGACGAGTCCTCCTACGGTTGACTTACATAGCATCGCCAAGCCACATGCCAAGGCAGAGTCCTCGCAAACGGAGCGGAACACCCCGCTGTCCGAAAGCATCTCCCTGAGTCTTTCTTGGATTATGTCGGCGTCACACATTTCCACACTGTCGCTTCGCGTCTCATGTCTGAGCTGCCCTCTTTGTGGGACCTAGTGCTTCAAAGCTGCACGAAGATAGCTTGACCAGGGAGGAATCCAGATACCATGCTGCAACCTAGGTAAGTGGGGCGGGAGGGAATTCCGGGGCGAGGATCCACGAGGCCTGAGGCGCACACATGCCCACAACCTTCGCTCAGTAAGAAGGGACAAAGAACGATCCAAAGACTGCATACAATAGATGCATGTCAAGCAAAACGTGCATGGATCCGATGTCAAATCTTGTATGACTGTCTTGAATCTTGAATATACTCTTGCTTAATGCTTTGGCGATTACTACGGTGGTTCACAAACATGCATCCACACCGTAACATCTGGAGCAAAAGAGTAAAAGCGTGCACGCGGGCTGCTTCCAAGCAGCACCCAGAAGCGGCCCCAGGGCAGCTGCTCGCACTCCCCCTCAACATGCTCATCATACTCCACCTGGCTTCCGCCGCTTTCCCAGTAGGGCATCACGGCATGATCCTTCAGGGAGCGAGAAGGGCCCTGCAAAATGATGTGGGCATCGGCCTCTGCTAGACCCCTTCTGGCTCTCTACTAAGGTGCCGATCTGTCTCCTGCAGGTGCAGAGTCAAGCTCTCATAGCTGCCGGTGGTGTCTTCAACCTGACCATGATGCGAAACCACTCGTTTGATCTCTTACCCTGTCTTGCAACTGCTGCAGCAGTCATCAGGGGGCCCACCCAGACAACAGACTCAACCGTCTTTTCGACCGGCGGTGTTGGAGGCCCCACCTCAAGGAGTATGAGTCAGGCACCACGTTCGCAGGCTTAGTGTGGATACCAGCACTTAGTAGCACCTCAAGGGTCTTGAGGGCCAAGCAAACACCTCCTTCCCAGGATCGCTTGAGCCTCGAAGGCCCATGGCTTGCGCTGATCTTTGAAGACTGCACTCTCAGGACAACGTCTTGTTTGCAGTCAAGTCTCCAATCGCAGCCAGCGGCTCGGTCATGGTCGCTGTGGCCGTTTCGACCTGACACATGAGCGCCGTCTCCTTCCGGGCCTGATTTGCGCCCTATCCCGCCTTTTGGTAAACGGGTGGGTCGGCGCAAGTATTGCAGTTGGTACTGCTCGAACCTCAGGAGATACTAGTAGGTACTAGCGCTAGCCGCGAGCCCAGATGCAGTGCTGTCCTAACTGTCCTAACTAGGTTCAAGGGGAACTGGCGGCAGCCGAGCAGCATCCCATTGCAATGGGCAATGGTGCCCGGGAGGAGGGGGGCGAAGGGGCCAACTTTCACCATCCTCTCCCCGCACAACGCTGGAAGCCAACAAGCGAGCAGCATGCAGGTCTGACGGATGCGGAAACTTAAACTGCTGCTGAGATGGATCTCTTCTGTTTTGCAACTGGATCCACGAGCACCTCTCGCAAGAAAGATCCGTCCGTGCCGCATGCTGGCGCACAGTTGCCTCTTACCTCTGAGCACTCCCATGCTGTCATGCTACCTGAACACAATGATGAATGACCGGTCTAAGCGAATTGGCGATGTACCTGCTGTTTGAGGAGACGCGCGACCCGAAATTTGTGCATGCATTCATGCACGACCCACAAGTGTCAGATGTCCAGCTTTTGCTGCTTAGACAGGCTTTCTTGTTGCCCACTGTTGACGAAAGTGTAGTGTGCTGAGTGCCATGATATGCTGATGCCTTCAAAATGTAAAGGTTCCAACTTTCGGTGTAGCGGCTGTAGCGCTCGCCTTCATGCCGTGCACTTTTGAAACAGTTGGCTGGTGCGGTGGCCGCGAGATCTGGATAGGATGACCCATACATGCCTACGTGCTCCAGGAGATCTGTTCTGGTGGATTTTGGGCTCACGCCACGTTGCGGCGCCGCAGTGAGCTGCCCACATGAAAGGTGCGCGAACTCTTAACAGCAGCTGCTCCTGAAGGCCAGCGCGATAGCCGCAGTGACTGCTGAGTGGAAAGATTGCGGGGTGTCTTCAGGCATGGCAGGGACCCATCGATATTTCGCTCGCATAGTGAGTTTCCTCTTTCCCTGGAGAGCTGGGCCCATCAGTGCAGGAGAAGCCCCACCTTCGGTTTGCTGCAGGTGGGCGCTCAAGCGTTCTCGAAGCCTTGCGTGGTGATCATCTTCCCTACACTTGGTGGTGTTCCTTCCCAGCCACAGGGTCCCCTCAGACTGTGGGGATTGAGGACCTGTGGGGCCCCATCTGTTGTCCCCCGTGCTTGTATTTGGCTGTGGCGTTTCACTCAATCTTCGATTGCTACTACTAAACTGAGTGTGAGAAAAGCTTCTCTACGCACTTATGACCTGCAATGCTCAGCCAGACGGGGCTGCGTGGGGGCCAAGTGGGTTTGCGCGTGCTCAGCTTGAAAACGATCTTAATAAGCTAATCAGCTAGTGAAGCCTGACCTTGAAACGCACACAAACAGCAGACACGGGCAACTTCCGTCTGGTCCTGCGCATTCAGTCACTACATTCTTTGGGGAAAGAGCGTGGTACAAAATCTGTCTGGATCCTGCCCTTGAGAACGCGACTCCTACGAACCAGGCGAATTGCGAGAGTTGCGGGGGAGTGTCTACGGACCAAGGACATCTGTTTTGCACTCCCTTTAAGTCCAGATGCTTTGAATAAGGGATCTCTGGGCCTGTTAAGTGGACCTTTCAAGCTGGTGACCGAACACAACCATGGCTGTAGAATGTCTTTGCCTTGGAAATGGGTGGATAAACTTGTGGAGAAGCAGTTCCCCATGCACACACCGTCTCACACTCCTTGTGCCCAGTCCTGGCCGTAGCCTCTGGCAACACAAGATGCAACACATTGTGGAGTTTCCGGACACGCTTCCCTTGCTGAACCCATCACCTACCTGTCAGCTGTCAGGGCGATGAGTGTGCGCACGCTTCCATTTTCCACTTTGTTTGCAAGCTGCTGCTTCTCTCATCGGAATCGATCAGGAGGTCCACGTATCTTCGAACAACACAAGCTGTGATACTGATCCTGAAAACAAAAAAAGCAGAGTTCTGGGCCTGGCCGGTCGGCACCACAATGCAGGCACTTGTGCCTGCAGCGCCAACGGACGGTGAATACTCTTGCGGTAGGCAGCCAGGCAAGCCAGGCAAGTCGTCAGACCGCCACTCGGTCACTGGCTCGTAGCCACACAGTGCCTGAGATGCTGAATTTGTACGTCGCGCTGCTGCTCGAGCATCGGCTATGATTTTGCGACCAAGTCACTGCGGCACAGCGCGTGCAACCCCAGTCCCATCTGGAAGGATAAGAGAAGCTGTCCATGACCTTGGCGATGACACGAGCAGGGTCTAAGCAGTCGATGGGAGAACCGTGTGGCTCCCACCCGCAGTGTGCCAGGACCAGTTATGGGACTGCCCATAGCACCAGCTGGCGCGCACCGCCAGCCTACAAATCCAAACGTTAAGACGGAGCAACATGAGACGACTCGTTACGAAATCGTGCATTCAGCTCTTGCCGGGCGGCAGAACCATCGATCTTTGCAGTTTCTGGCTTTGCACTGGCCACAGAACCAGTCACCTTGTCTTCGCAGATTGCCGGGACTGTGCATAAAGTCTTCTTGAGCTTGGCGAATCGAGCCTGGACGTGGCAGCATGCCAGAACCTGGGCCGTAGAAGAGTTTCAGCAGCTGGCCTGAATCGTCAGAGATACGATGTATTTCTGCAAACATATGCACAAGGGCATGTCGCAGGCTTGGCATCATCAAATGCAGACATCTCCCCACTTGCAAACACATGCAAAGATGCCAGAGGGGCGGCCCTTGAACTCTTACCCCCTTTTTTCCGCCTGCTTTACGCCCCCCCTCTCTGCTGCGTTGCCGTGGAAAACTTGCAAGAGGAATCTATAAGGAATCAGCTGGGAATTCCGCAGCTGAGGTTGGCACGAACGGGCCGCAAGGCCAGAAAATTAGAAAATTGAGCAATGATGTCTAATCGTCATCATCACCAAGCGCGAGCTCGGTGTAGAGATTGCTCCCGCTGGCAATCTTCTTTACCTTGCCTTTCTCATCTGCGGTGGTGAGCAGCTTCTGCCATGCTGCATGGCACTCGTCCTTGCGTCAGCAAAGACTTAAAAGCCATTGCTTCGACATGACACCCTATACACCCTGTGTGTCCCTTGCAAAGCCCCTTGCAAAGCCCCTTGCAAAGCCCCTTGCAGCCCAAGTGTCAACGACCTTGCGTGCAAATGCTGCGCCCTGCGGCTTGCCACCGCAGCCAAACTTGTTCTCCTTTTTGCCTTCTGCTGTTTTGTACCTGACTTTGCGGCATGCGCTTTTGTGTCTGTCACGTCACAGAACCGCAGATCATTCAGGGCAAGAGGCATTCTGAGCCAATCAGTGAGAGCTTGCGTACAGCCAGGCATGTGCGCATCGATGTCATTCAAGTCATTGACATTCCTGACAGCCGAGCAGCCGCGGCAGCCGCAACAACCGCAACAGCCGACACAACTGCAAAAAATCACCGTCAAAGGCAAGAAACTGCGATCTGTCATCATCCATCGCAATCGTGAGAACCTTCCAATCCGTCTCGTCATCGTCAATCATGGCAATAACACCAAGGATCCTCAACTCATCGCGGGATCGCGAGTTTTCCCGAGACGCCACGATCTTGCTGACACATCACTCAGACACTGAAGAAGACTCCTTTTTTTGCGTGCGCTCACTCAGTCACAGGCGTGAAGCTTGCGAAGTCACAGGCGTGAAGCTTGCGATGCTGGATCTGGGGAAAGGTCAATGCGGATATACGTATATATGTAGCTTTATACACATATTAAAAAACATGCTAAGAGGCAGCCTCGAAATTGGAAAAGCCTAGGGCCTAGGATCCCTTCACACGCCGCCTCCTCTTCGGAAGCGCCTCCACGAGCGCCTGACGCTCGGCCTCCGCTCGCTGCCACTCAGCAGCCGCAGCAGGCCGCTGGCGAACGGCTCGATCAGGGGCAGGATTCACCACCCGCTTCTCTTCTGGAAGAGCGCGCTCCAGCCGGTCGCCGGGTCGAAGACAAACTTGGGAGCAGCAACTCGGGAGATCTGGCGCTGGAGGCCGTCATCCAAAGCATCCCAGCGCACCAAGACGATCGGGTACTTCCTGGCATTCAGGACATTGTCCGGCAGCGTTCTGGATGTGAGGAAGCAGGCCTTGCCGGAGGCGGCGCGCCAGATGATGTAGGGCTCCGCGGCCTCACGGAGGCGGTCCAGGAGCTCGGGGCCTCCTGGTACTCAGCGATGCTGTTCCAGATGCGCTCGGCCTTGGAAACGATGTGGCACTTCTCGGTGGCCTTGCCAGCTGGGGCCTCCGGAGGCCGCTGCGCGCGATATCACGGCAGAGCCTTGTCCTCGAGCCTCCGCATGTGGCGGGCCCAGGCCTCCAGCCTGAGCTTCCGTATCTGCGAGGGGGAGGCGGTCTCGTAGGACTTCAGGGCCGCCGTCACGAGCACGTCCAAATTGTAACACTCACTGTACGCACGTTGCCGCGCTTTCCTGAGTTCGGCATGCGCAGGTGAGTGCGGCAGTGCTCAGGGCGCTGGGACTTTAGGAGCTCATGCGTCGCCGTGGGATCGCGCGCAGCGGCCTCCGGAGGCCCCAGCTGGCAAGGCCACCGAGAAGTGCCACATCGATTCCAAGGCCGAGCGCATCTGGAACAGCATCGCTGAGTACCAGGAGACAGGAGGCCCCGAGCTCCTCGACCGCCTCCGTGAGGCCGAGGAGCCCTACATCATCTGGCGCGCCGCCTCCGGCAAGGCCTTTTTCTCACATCCAGAACGCTGCCGGAAAGGCCGGCGTCAGGGCGTCCCGACGCTGGAAGAGGTCCTCGAAATCCAGCTCTGAAAGGCGCGCCTCCACGTGCAGGTGCGAGGTGGCTCCAGCAGGAGCCGGTGCCGAAGAGCGGGCCGACCAGCTCCAGCTCCTGCGGCAGCGTGCATGCCAAGAGCAGCTGGCCGGCGAGGGGCGCCTCCTCTTTCACGACGGGCCGGGCCTCCGGCGGTGCGGAGGCCCGGCTCTCCAAGGCCGCCTGCAGCCGGGTGTTCTCCAGGGTGAGCCGGTGGACCTCGTCCTTCATCTTCATCTGCTCCTGTAAGCGGGCGTTCTGGATCTGGGCCTGCAACAGCTCCTGCCACAGGCCTTGCTCCTTTTCCTCCGCCTAGCTCATCCTCGCGAGTGTGGTGGCTGTCCTGGAGCTCCCGCATCAAGGCGCCCTGCTGCCGCAAGAGCTGCTCCACCAGCCTCTCGCCCACGGCGGTGACCATTTTCAGGGGACCCGGAAAACCCATCAAAAAAAACTTTTTCCGAATCAAAAAAACTTTTTTTACAATCAAAAAAAATCCGGAAATCAAAAAAACTTCTTCCCAATCAAAAAAACTTTCCTTGGTAGTTTACAAAAGGATTTGAGTCTCTTGGACGATACCCGACCCATCAAAAAAAACTTCTCTCCATCAACAAAAACTTACCGCATTCGACGCAAAGATATGTAGTTTTTAGTGTGCATGTGTTTTTTTATATATATGTATATATGTCTTGGGTGGCAAAACAGACACTCCTTTCTGCACGGCTTTAAAAAAGCGGGGGGGTGGGGGGGGGCGCAGCCCCCCCCCCCCATTTGCAAACACAATGCTCACACGATGCTTTTCAACTAGTTTCTTGGGCTTTGAAGCACGCTTGGTACGGCTTAAAAGAAGCGGGGGGGGTTTGGGGGGGGGCGCAGCCCCCCCCCCCCATTTGCAAACACCCTGCTCACATGATGGGCGTCAACAAGTTTCTTGGGCTTTGAAGCACGCTCTGCACGGCTTAAAAAAGGCGGGGTGGGGGGGGCGCACCCCCCCCCCATTTGCAAACACAATGCTCACACGATGTTTTTCAACTAGTTTCTTGGGCTTTGAAGCACGCTTGGTACGGCTTAAAAGAAGCGTGGGGGGGTCACGCTCTGCACGGCTAAAAAAAAAAGGCGGGGGGGTTAGGGGGGGCGCAGCCCCCCCCCCCCACTTGCAAATACAATGTTTTTTCAACTACTTTCTTGGGCTTTGAAGCACGCTTGGTTAGGGTTTAGGGTTTAGGGTTTAGGGTTTAGGGTTTAGGGTTCAGGGTTCAGGGTTCAGGGTTCAGGGTTCAGGGTTCAGGGTTCAGGGTTCAGGGTTCAGGGTTCAGGGTTCAGGGTTCAGGGTTCAGGGTTCAGGGTTCAGGGTTTAGGGTTTTTTTTTTTTGCCACCCGCCTAGCTGACACTGTGGCCACGTTGCAGGGACTAGTTCCGGGAAAAGGTGCGCACTCAAGAAGAAATTGCCTTTAAAGCCAGCAGACACATATGCGGGAAGCGATGGGAATCCGGTACAAACCGAGGTGAGGAACCCCCAACCAAATAAGACCATCAAGGGGATGCATCTAGACAACACAAACCCCAGCCCAGTGGACTCCCATCTCTTCCCAGGAGAAAACTCCCAGGTCTCAAAGGACCTCAGGGAGGGTGCCTAGCACCTTGGCACATTCACTCTGAAAGCGAAACACTCCAACATTCGTACTCAACTACACTCCCAACCATACCCCTCTCAAAGGAAGTGTTTCGCCACTCCAACTGGAGACATCACAAAGGATCGTCGCTTGTACTCCCTCTGCCTGGCCACATCGGCTCTTGTACAGTGGCAGCCCTGGAGCCCAATCGCGACCGAAAATTGACATAACTACACCAGAAACCCAAAAGACAGCAGGGTCCCTAGTTCGTATGGGACAGAAGGGGCTCTCGAAGCAACACGTGCCAGGCAAGACCAGCACCAACCCATAGTACCACATGGATCCCAACGATACTGAACACCACCACCGAAACAACCAAAAAACCACATAGATCCCGAACAGATGCAAACAAGTGGGTCCGTGTTGCCGTGAGGGGGCCTTCCTAAAGGATGCACGCTCACTTTCACAGTGAGGCAGCTGTGGAGCATGGACTGCCGAGCCACTCCCATGTCTATGTACATCAGTTTTGGCCGAAATCACAGACAGGGCTTTCTGATAGCAATCATGTCAAAACGAAGGTCAGCTACAGTGCCAAAGAAGGGTGTTTCAGAAAGCCCAATTCAAGGCTATACAGACAAGTCCTGCAAGATACTCCCGCCCGTACCTGAGCAACCCCATACCACATCGATCCAAACAATGAGACCAGCCGGAACCCAAGCAGACCACAAACCACATAGATCCTAACAATGCGAACAGGGCATCACTGCGTTCCGCATCTCGCCGTGCACCCCTACTCTCGATCTGTTCTTGAAACGTGGTGGTGTCGATCCCGGTGAAGAGCAAGAGCCACAAACAACATAGAGTATTCAGAACATAGGGACAAAGGTATTTAGCACAGGCCCCGCCACCCATTTCGCACACGGATTCATCATGCAGAGCCAACAAAAAGGTACGCATGCAGGTTCTCAGAGAAATGCCATGCATGCAGGTCCACTACAGATGTTGGGGCAAACCACGCAGGCACTCTCATGCCTTAGAGGATCTCAAGACTCGCATGCATGCATTGAAATTGGTGGAGTACCCTACCATACTGTTCATGTGTCCGCGTTCTGAATTCAGGGATTAGCATGCTGCAAATTCGTCCAATTCTCTAATTACATGCATCACTCTCAGCTCCTCCTTCTCGAATTCGCGTGCCAGTCATGCCAGTCAGCGTCAACAACTGTAGGGTCATTCTCTCTCACCAATTCAGAGTCAATTCATCAAAGTGAATTCCTCGAATTCCAGACTTGTCCATGTGATTCGGCGCGTCCCAGCATGCAGTAGGTCCATACCTCCATCGACAAAGTGAATTCGCCAAATTCAGACCAAAGGTGTTGTCACCATCCAGAAAGTGTCCCACTCGGAAAGCGAAAACTCAGAATGCACCAAGTGACAGCATCCCCGTTGCGTAGATACACGCACCAATGCTCAGCACCATTGCTTTCCGTCTGTCCAGCTTTGTGTGGTCCACCCACTGGTTCTGCCTCTGCTATGAAGCCTCCCACACAGCCTCTTCACTGGTGTAATGAATGTTTCAGTGTCCTGTGGCTTACCCACAGCGATTCTGAAGTTTCGCTCTTTGTCTTCTGACATAGAGCCTCCTCAGCACCAGTATTGTGTAGCATTGGCCTCCAAAGGCCTAGACCATGCACTGCGTGTCGTGGGGGGTTCACTCCCACAGCGTCAGGCACGTTGCGGGCAGCAGTCGTCACCACTATGGCATCGGCCGTTCCAGAGCACAAGGGCAGATTCCAGGTTCTCAGTGAAAGCTGTCGCGTGCAGAGGGCACCATGGCTGAAGAGGGAGTGACACCATTATATGTACTGCAGTCTGTTGTCCTCCAATCTGAGATCATGAAAAAACCCCTGTTCTCCTATTGACAAGACAGTAGTAAGACAGGGAGAAGGAAGAGCGAGCAAGGAAGTGAGAGAGGGGGGGGGGGTTGCCCTACATCCCAAAATTTACTCTCTCACTCACCCTGGTTCTGTCTGAGAGGCTCCCAAGTCACAATCTAAGGCGGGGCACCTTAGCCGAGCTTTCAAGCGCCAGACCTTCCAGTCCTGATTTAGGGTCCGGCGTCT